ATTTCACAAAGGAAGTATGTGATTGATCTTCTTGAAGATACTGGGATGAGTGGATGTCGTCCTGCAGAAACACCAATTGGTCCAAATCAGAAGTTCAGAAACAAAGAGGGAAGACCAATGGATACGGCCCAATACCAAAGACTAGTTGGGAAGCTAATCTACTTATCACATACTCGACTAGACATAGCATTCACTGTTAGCCTAGTGAGCCAATTCATGCACTCTCCTCATGAAGAACATCTAGAAGCAGCCTACTGCATTCTAAGGTACTTAAAGAGTTCACGGGGAAAAGGGTTGTTTTTTTAGAAGAATAAACAACGAGGTATTGAAACTTATACAGATGCAGATTGGACGGGGTCTAATTCAAATAGAAGGTCCATATCTGGCTACTGCACGTTTGTATGGGAAAACTTAGTAACATGGAGGAGCAAAAAACAAAATGCAGTGGCCCGAAGCAGCGCAGAAGCAGAATACATATCAATGGCACGAGGGGTCTGTGAGATGATATAGCTCAAGCATATTTTGGAGGAACTAAGAAGACCTGTGATCATGCCTATGAAGCTGTATTGCGACAACAAAGTAGCGATCAACATTGCCTACAATCTAGTCCAACATGACAAAACAAAACATGTTGAGATCGACCGGCATTTTATAAAAGAAAAGATTGAAGCTGGAGTCATCTGCATGCCATTTGTTCCAACCTCGCAACAAGTGGCTGATGTTCTTCTTACTAAAGGATTATTTAGACCAAACTTCGAGTTTCTCATTAGCAAGTTGGGCATGATAGATATCTATGCACTAACTTGAGGGGGAGTGTATAAATCAGGAAAGTAGGCTAGAGTTATGGACTGGATATGCACCAATCCGGTTAATGGGGGCTTAGAGATAAATTAGGAAAGTAGTTTATCTTTTCAATTTTAAAGAGATTCCTTGAGATAATGATCTCATTCATTCAAGGGATTTAGTTTCCTTTTTTCGTGGGATATACTTTCCCATTCCTATAGGATAGTTTTCCTATAAATATTGTAACCCTTGTACAGGAATTAATCAATGAAATATACTTTCTTTTCTGTCCTAAAACCTACCGAACCTAGACAAACCACTGAGCATGAATGTTATTGCCCATTAGAACCTTTCCGCCATTTATGCTTTTGCACTCTGTGAACCACACATATGATATGTGCACCCAGAATCAAGTATTCATTCCTCATCATTCTGATTTACTCCTACTGCCAGCATTTTAGAACTCTCATAACCTCCATCTTCAGTTGCCACAGTCGCATCTGCATTTTCTAACTTCTTTTCTGCAAGCTTCTTCTTGTACTCCTTACAGAATCTCTTAATACGTCCAAGTTTGTTACAGAAGAAACACTTCCTCTGTCCATTCCTAGATTTTGATCTAGAGTTGCGTCGGTTCTTGGATCGATCTTGGTCCTTCTTCTGAGGCCTTCCTCTTGAGAACAGACATTCATCTCCTCTCTGACTCAACTTATTCTTGATTTCCAATTCACGAGATCTTAACGCCGACAATACATCATCAAGAGTTAAACTCTCTGCCATACTTAATGGCATTCTTTACATCCTTATACGACTCGGGCAAAGAGATAAGCAAGATTATGGTTTGATTTTCTTCTTCTACCTTTTCTCCGATATTGGCTAAATCAATGACGATCTTGTTGAACACGTCAAGATTCTTTTCTAGACTTTTCTCAGGATCCATTCCAAGGAAGTATAGCCATACCTAAGCCGCCATGTCTTCTTCATTTACTTGCTGGAGAACGTTGTCAAAAAGGTACATAATGATTGTTGAATACACCGTTTCTTGCATCTCGGCCTTCTCTTCTTCAGACACCGACAAATCCTTCATGTCGCCTAGAGCTTTTGCCACCTTTTGTTGCACGAGGATGGCCCTTAGTTTTTTTCTCCAAAGGCTAAAATCCCATGTTCCATCGAACTTTTCAAGCTTGAACCTCGTAATCCCCATGATTTCTGATTTCCTAGAAATTTTGATAAAGATTATCAAAACCCTAGTGTGAGTCCACTGGAATTCTTGAAATTCGCCGATGAACCTTTTGGCTCTAATACCACTGTTAGACCGATTCTAACACAGACTCACCTTAAAACAAGAAATCACAAATATTAAAGATCCAGGAAAAACAAGAACACAAGAATTTGTTTGACCGAGGTTCGAAAATAATTCCTACATCCCCGTTGAGCTCTTCCTCAGAAAAGCTCTATTTACTATCAGAGAAAGTTATTACACCCTCTAATCTCTCAATACAAGAAGAGCCGCAATTCAAATTACAATAAGAACCCTAATTTAGAGCAAACCCAGAGAAAATACTAAGCAACCCGAAAAGAATACCTAGTGGAAGAACACCCAGTACAAAATCTCTCCCAGATTCTTTTCTATTATCCTTGCTTACTGTTTCTCTCACCAGAAAACCAAAAGTTCTCCTTTCTCTCTCTAAACCCAGAAGTTCTCTCTCTAGAATTGTATATGTGCCTGGTGAAGTTTCAAGTCCTCAAACTTATAACATAAAATAGATGATGGACCGACTAAACTCGGAAGTCTCCATTGCCTTTCCACGTGTCTTCATCTTAGGTGGGAACTAAGCTTTTAACCAAAACGACTTGTCACTTGGTGCAATTCTTTTCTCTGCTTTAAGTCGTTTCCTAAGATTACTCCACATGTTAGACAATGTACTCAACATCCTATTTCAAATCATGTGTCCTACAAAAATTTGTCACCTTCCTACTCTTTGTTTATTTCACATTTGTCAAGTGTGGATGTACCTAAGAATGTACATAAAGCTCTAAGTGGAGGCTGTTTTTGAGGACATGGAGGCCCTAGAGAAGAATGGCACATGGGAGAAAGTGAGATTACTTGAAGGAAAGACACCGGTGGATTGCAAATGGGTCTTTACTGTGAAGTTTAATTCAGATGGGACTATGGAACGTTACAAGGAGAGATTGGTGGCTAAGGGGTTTACACAAACCTATGGGATTGACTGTCAGGAGACATTTGCTCCTGTTGCAAAGCTAAACATAGTTCGGGTCCTACTCTCTGTAGCTGCAAATTTAGATTGGCCTCTAGACCAATTAGATGTTAAGAATGCATTTCTTAACGGGGAGTTAGAAGAAGAAGTGTTTATGGATGCTCCACCGGGTTTTGAAGAGAGCTTTGGAAGAAAAGTCTGTAAACTCAGGAGGTCTCTATATGGCTTAAAATAATCTCCAAGGGTGTGGTTTGCGAGATTCACCATATTTGTTAAGCAACAAGGCTATACTCAGAGACAAACTGATCGCACTATGTTCATTAAGCACACTAGTGGTGGTAAAATAGCAATTTTGATTGTCTATGTCGATGATATAATTCTTACTGGTAGCAATGAGACAGAAATTACCAAGTTGAAGAAATGCCTTGCAGCAGAATTTGAAATGAAGGATTTTGGACCCTTACGGTATTTTCTGGGAATGGAAGTTGCTAGATCGAAGAAGGGGATTTGTGTGTCTCAAAGGAAGTATATTTTGGACCTACTTGAAGAAACTGGGATGAGTGGGATGCAGACCAAGGCCTCGTTCATTTCACCGATTCGAGTTTTCAGTTTTAGATTTCTACAGTAGAAAGCTATCAGAAAATATCACATCTAACTTTTTCTGCTACAGTGAAAAGCTCTCAGAAAATGTCACATCTCAGCTCAAATTAAAAACTCGAATCCGCGAAGTGAAAGAGGCCCAAGTGACACACCTATGGATCCAAACCAAAAGTTAGGAGAAAAATCAGAGGGAGTGCCAACTGAAAAGGGGCGGTACCAACGTCTTGTGGGAAAGCTGATTTATCTTTCTCATACAAGGCTTGATATTGCGTTTGCAGTTAGCGTAGTAAGTCAGTTTATGCATTCACCATATGAGGAACATCTTGAGGCCGTCTATCGGATCCTAAGGTATCTAAAAGGGTCACTTGGAAGAGGTCTTTTGTTATAAAAAAAAAAAAATGACCAAAGGAGTGTGGAAGCGTTCACAGATGCGGACTGGGCAGGTTCTATTATAGACAAACGATCGACATTAGGTTATTGTACGTTCCTTTGGGGCAATCTTGTTACTTGGAGAAGTAAGAAGCAAAATGTAGTAGCCCGGAGTAGTGCCGAAGCAGAATTTAGGGCTATGGCTAATGGAATATGTGAGCTATTATGGCTAAAAAGAGTGCTTAAAGAGCTGAAACTGGAGTCAAAAGCTCCCATGAAACTATTTTGTGATAACAAGTCAGCAATAAGCATAGCAAACAACCCGGTTTAACATGATCGTACGAAGCATGTCAAGAATGATAGGCATTTTATCAAAGAAAAGTGGAAAGTGGAGTTATCTGCATGCCTTTTGTTACCACTGAGCAACAGTTAGCTGATGTCCTAACCAAGAGTCTGTTTAGGACAAAGTTTGATTTGTTAACAAGCAAGTTGGGCATGATTGATATCTATGCTCCAACTTGAAAGGGAGTGTAGAAAGATAGGGATTTTTTGTTATGTTTTTAAATTTAAACTAATTATTAGGATCGGTTCTAGATATATTTAGGAGTAGTTATCAGTTCCTATATTTATGGGATATTAGTTAGGGGGATAAAGATCAGATCCTAGGCTGATCTATTTATTTGTTTCACTGTTGTACGTTTTCAATATAATCAAAAATTGCTTTCCCTCAGTCCTGCGTTCAGTAAGAATCAAAGACGAAACCCAATCATTGTCCTAATTAATGCGGGAAGTAATTAATATTGAACTACAATACCATTTATTAAGGAGACCAACTTTAATCTTGGTTGCCATTAAATGAACTAGAAGGATAAAAAATGTTAACACTCATCAAAATATGTCTGATGTACTACAAAGCTATAAACGGTTCCTAATTTTTTTTTTAAGACTAATTTATTAAACAATAACTCATGCATGCAATTTCAACTTTCTAAATACAACCATAAACTGGAAGTTAGAATTTACGTTTTGTACCTCCATTTTACTCAAATAATCAGGAATTTCCACCAGCCGCTTACCAACATTTGATTTCTTTTCACCAACTCTATGCGCATTTTCTGTTGGAACAGATAGACGTAAGTGTTAAAACTTACCAAAACAGGATCTCAGTCAAAATAAGATAATTATGGGTGTGTTTGAAGTTGTTTCCATTTTTGTTTTTCACGTTTTTGGAGAAAGAAAAAATGAAAACGGGAGAGAAACGGCGTTTGGTACACTTAAAAGATAAAAAACGGAAATGAAAATGATTTTTTAGTTTAGTGTAAAATGAGAGAAAAATGAAAAACGAATTTTAGTCGTTTTTCATTTTTTGTTTCCGTTTTCTCCTTTCTCGAGTAGAGAGAGAGAGAAACATTAATAGATTTTTTTATACGGAAAACAATCTCTTAAAAAAATTACAAAACGCATTTTCATTTTTTATTTTTGTTTGAGATTGAAAACGTTTTCATTTCCATTTTCATACAAAAAATAAAATCATTTTAGAACGAGTTCCAAACGCACCCATATTGACTGTCAAATTTCCAACTATTTTTTATTAGCCAAATATTCCAAATAGTCTTCCTTTTTTCACAACTAACCTTCACTAGGAGTAAAGAGCCTTCCTGGTCAAATTTTACACTGGACTTAGAATTTCGGTTTGCCTCCACTGGCTTCTTGAAGGCGAGCTCCTCCATATTCCTATACTCAATAATCAAATCAATATTTGCTAGAGAATTATACATATTTAGAATAGTAAGACAAGAAAGAGGCCAAACAAACGCATCAACATTACTTCTTCATCTTGACCATTTGTTCTCTAAGCTGCTTAAGTTCTCTCGTGGAATCATGCTCCTCAGTCTTCCTTTTTCAAAATGAGTTCCTGGAAAATCCTATAAAGCGAAATGATGAAAAGTATAAAGGTCCCAACTCTCAAAACATAAAACATATGAAAAAGATGGCACTTTTAACGACAAAAAGCCAAATTTTAGGTCGATATAACATCACATAGAATCCTTACTTTTTGATATTGACCGTCTCTTTCTTGAGTCTCAATCTCTCTTACACAAACAAGATCCTTTGTGGGATTATCACCTGGCTTCCATCCAGCTGAAGGCGTCCAATAAGGGTCCTGCACCCCAGCCTCAATCCTAACGTTAACCAAATCAGCACTTTCTATCCAGTACTCCGTGGCCTCATCAGAATTATGCCGGAGGTGCCACCTTTTCGTACTTGTGCTTCAGTAAATGGGATCTAGCAACTCCGTGTCTCCAATCAGCTTGCGTGCCTCAGTTCTCAAGACTGGCCTTAGTATTGGGTTCCCAAACACAGCACCTTTTGCCTTCATAATCTTCAACATGTTCCCCTCAGCCAATTTGTACTTCCACAGATTCAATCACCAAGGACCATTAGCAAGGAAAAATGAAGAGCAAAATCAGTGAAATTTGAAGAAACTAATTAAAAGATAGTCCTCAGCTTGCAGTAGACCATCTCTATATCGAGTTTCTCAAAGCCATTTTCTTTCTCCGACTCAGAAGTTTTTTATTTTGTTTCTTATCACTCTTTGCTTTTTTCAAATTATCAGTCTTGCTGTTCTTACCATGGCACTTTCTCTTACTAGAGCGACGGTTCTTAACCGCAAATATGTCGGTCTCTTGCTTCACATGACCCTCTTCCCTCCTATACTTCTTCCTCTTTCTCTTTCTGATCTTCCTCCTCTTCTTTCTTTGCCTAGTTATCGTCATCGTCATCATCATCATTGGCAGTGCTTGCTAAAACACCGAGCTTGTACTCATTATGGCGATCAAGGAAGCGGACTCTCCGGCGCTTGCCCCACCGAACCATACCAGTGAAGTTAAGCTCAGATTCGTAGAAACCACGTCTTCGTTGCCATTTCTCTCCACTACCAAAGCTCGTGATGCCCAGAAGCTCCACAAGTTCCCGTCTTCAGCAATTTCCTGAGATGGCATTCTCCTGACAAGCACCTCAGGTGCCATGCTGGCAGCTTTTTCCCTTCGTTGAAATGGGTGCGAAGGGAATGAATGCTTTGGAACCTCAATCAAACGTTTCACCCAGCCTTCTCACTCACCTCCGTAAATCCAGTTAGCAACTTTCTTTTGATGCCTAGTTAACAGATAACTAATCAAAAGAAATTGAATAAAAAAATTTTGGAAGTGGGTTTGGCGAGAAAATTACCATCGCCACCCTAGTGGATTAGAGCTGCTCCGGGGTCTTGGGAGGGAGCTTGGAGTGGTCAATTTGGTAGAAAGAACCCACCTTTATGTTCTAAACAGCCTCTGTGGTATATGAGAAGAAATGACCAAGAAGGTATAAGGCATAGGAGTTCAGCAGAACGAAAGAAAACGACGAATATGGAAATTTAAAGATATATTATAAACAATGCTACAGATGGCTATAGGGTGTGGTAGTATGTACCAGACGAGGCCAGAGCATCTCTTGCCAAAGAAGGGCTTTGTGCTCTTTGCCCTTGCTTTGTCAAGCACATCACCTCCTGCTACATGAACACCAATAGTATGACAAACGGCAAATATTTGATATATAGATTTATTCATATAACCATAAATCTGTTTTTAACATAATGTATATTAGCTAGCTTACTATTAAGTATCATGCCTCACTAATATACCAGAATATACCATCTACCCTTATTTATAGTACTTCTAGCAAGTGCAGTGCCCTATATATGTAAAAAAGTCCTAAAAGTATTTTCTCCCTTTTTTTTTTTCCTCCAAAACTTTAATAGTGTCCACTTTCTGAAATGTCGATACGGCTTGCTCCTAATCTCATTATTATGGTAATCGGTTTTCAATTTTGCTTAAAGAAAAGCATGTAAAAGTGTTGAGACACGTATTCTGAAAAGTCTTTGTTTTGTTAACAGCTGTTCTAGTATTTGTTAACAGCTGTCCTAGTATTTAGGAGTTTGTTTTTAGTGGAGTAGTGTTGAACTGTTTCTTAGCAAGTTTGTTTTACTGATAAATAATGGTTTGTTATTTTACCGAGTCTTTAGCTTTTGCACGTTAGATTTAGTGGGCTCTCACATGTTAGTGGGCTCCTGATGTTGCTCTATATAAAGAGCTTTGTACGTTCAGTTTTTATTGGCAGAAAAACATAAAAAGGTTCTTCATCTTTGTCTTCTTCCACTTTTATATATATTTTGTAACAGTGGTATCAGAGCCATCAAAAAAAAAAAATAGTAAACTCACGTGAGTAAGTAAGGGAGTGAAATAGAGTGATAGCAGTAGCTTTTTATTTCACTTATTTTCTATTTTGCAGAAGCAAATGGTGTCAGAAACAACATTTGTGCAGCTGGCAATTCCCCGTTTTGATGGTCACTATAATCATTGGAGTATGCTAATGGAGAACTTCTTGAGGTCCAAGGAGTATTGGCAAGTTGTTGAGTCTGGAGTACTAGAACCAGCAACCGGAGTAGTGTTGTCGGAGACCCAGAGAGCAGAGTTGGAAGCATTGAAGTTGAAGGACCTTAAGGCCAAAAACTACCTTTTCCAAGCCATTGATCAAGTAACTTTAGAGACAATTCTTAGCAAAGACACCTCCAAGCAGATTTGGGACTCCATGAAGAAGAAGCACCAAGGGAACGTTAAGGCACAACGGGTGCAGCTTCAAAGACTTCGAACTGAATTTGAAACTTTGCGCATGAAGTCGGGAGAGTCGATTATAGATTTCTTCTCAAGAACGATGACAATTGCTAACAAGATGCAAATCCATGGCGAGAAGATGGAAGATGTCACCATCGTTGAGAAAATTCTTAGATCAATGACACCGAAATTTAATTTTATTGTTTGTTCTATAGAAGAATCCAAAGATGTTGATACGCTTTCACTTGACGAATTACAAAGTTCTTTGTTGGTTCATGAGCAGAAAATTGTCCAACAGGAGTATGAAGAACAAGCTTTGAAGGCAGCAGCCAATCCCAGTGGTCCTGGCCGTGGAAAAGGAAAATGGAAGGACAAAAACGCACACCACAAAGCAGATGGAGAACATGCAACTGACTCCAAGTCGAAAGGAAAAGGTCGTGACAAGTCAAATGTCGAATGTTTTTGATGTCACAAGTATGGCCATTATAAGTCTGAATGCAGGACTAATCTCAACAGAGACCGTGGTGCGAAGGCAAATTTTGCAGAGAAAGAAGAAGAAGTTTCTCTCTTGATGGCTTGTCATGCGAAAGAAGATGTTCATCAAAACTTATGGTACTTAGATACCGGCTGCAGCAACCATCGATCATGGGCAAAGGCAACGTTAAGATCCACACCATGGAGAACTCTACTCAAATTATTACTAATGTTTTCTTTGTACCAGATTTGAAAACTAACTTGCTTAGCATTGGCCAGCTCCAAGAGAAGGGATATGAGATCTCTATCAAACATGGAGTTTGTCGCATTCAAGATGAAAAATTGGGCTTGATTGCTCAAGTCAACATGACGACGAACCGGATGTTCCCTTTGTATCTTGATAGCACTACTCAATTATGCTTCTCTGCAAGGGTGAAGGATGAGCCATGGTTGTGGCATTTTCGCTACGGACATCTGAATTTTGGTGGTCTAAAAACGCTGCAACAGAAGAATATGGTGACAGGTCTTCCGCAAATTCAAAGTCCTTCTCAAGTTTGTGAAGAGTGTGTTGTTGGCAAACAACATCGAGATCAATTTCCGAAAGGAAAATCATGGAGAGCGAAGAAGGTGTTAGAACTTATTCATTCAGACTTATGTGGACCCATCAATCCGACTTCGAATGGCAATAAACGTTATTTTATAACGTTTATTGATGATTATAGTCGGAAAACTTGGGTTTATTTTTTGCAGGAGAAGTCTGAAACTTTTTCAGCTTTCAAAAGTTTCAAAGCGCTAGTTGAAAAGGAAGTGGGCATGCCTATAAAGATTCTTCGCAATGATCGTGGTGGAGAATACAACTCACAAGAATTTGTAAATTTCTGTGAGGAGCATGGAATTCAAAAGCAACTTACAGCCGCCTATACACCGCAACAAAATGGTGTTTCAGAGAGAAAGAACCGTACTATTCTGAACATGGTGCGGACTATTTTGACGGGAAGCGGGATTCCAAGAAGTTTTTGGCCAGAGGCAGTCAATTGGAGCATTCACGTATTGAACAAAAGTCCCACTCTAGCTGTTCAAAACGTGACACCTGAAAAAGCTTGGAGTGGACGCAGACCAAGTGTTGAGCATTTCAGAATCTTCGGTTGCATAGCCTATGCACACGTTCCAGATCAAAAGAGGAGCAAGCTTGATGACAAAGGTGCAAAATGCATTTTTCTTGGTGTTAGTGAGCAGTCAAAAGCATACAAACTGTACAATCCTATCACCAAGAAAATTGTCATTAGTCGAGATGTGATTTTTGATGAAGAACGATTCTGGTTTTGGGATGAAAACCATGTTGAACAACGTATACAACCTGATTTGGATGAAGAAAATGAAAAAGAAACGCAGCAACCTATGGAAGAAGTACAACCTACAGAGGAGCAGCAACCACCAATCACTCAACTCACTCCACCAGTTGAAGCAGGAAATATTGAGCAACCTCGAAACAGAAGAAAACCGGCTTGGATGGCTGACTATGAGGTAACTGGAATTCCTCAAACTGAAGACCCACTTACACACTTTGCTCTATTTTCATATTGTGATCCTATAACAATTGAAGATGTCATTAGAGAATCAAAGTGGCAGAAGGCGATGGATGCTGAAATCACAGCCATTGAAAAAAATGATACTTGGGAGTTGACAGAGCTTCCAAAGGGGCAAAAAACAATAGGTGTGAAGTGGGTGTACAAAACAAAGTTGAAAGAGAATGGCGAAGTTGATAAGTACAAGGCACGCTTAGTTGCTAAAGGCTACAAGCAAGAGTTCGGTGTCGACTACAAAGAAGTTTTTGCTCCAGTTGCAAGGCATGACACAATCAGATTGGTGATCGCATTGGCTGCTCAAAACTCATGGCCTATCTTTCAGTTGGATGTGAAGTCCGCTTTCCTACATTAAAACTTGGAAGAGCAGGTATTCATCGAACAACCTCCTGGTTATGTGAAGTTTGGTGATGAGCATAAAGTTTATAAATTAAAAAAGGTGTTATATGGATTAAAACAAGCTCCAAGAGCTTGGTATAGTCGTATAGATGCTTATTTTTCTAGGGCGGGTTTTCAAAACTGTCCATTTGAGCATACACTTTTCACAAAGGTTAGAGACAGAGGAGAGTTACTTATTGTATGTTTATATGTGGATGATTTAATTTATACTGGAAATGATAGAGCTATATTTGAAAAGTTTAAGCAGTCCATGATGCTTGAGTTTGATATGTCTGATCTTGGAAAGATGCATTATTTCCTTGGGATAGAAGTAGTTCAGTTTGCTGGTGGAATTTTTATTTCTCAAAGGAAATATTTGCAAGAAGTTTTAGACAGGTTTCAAATGAAGAAGTGCAACCCTTCCAGTACACCAACCGAGACAGGTTTGAAGTTGGTAAAAGATCCTGGAGGAAGAAGAGTAGACAGCACCCTTTACAAGCAAATTGTAGGGAGCTTGATGTATTTGACAGCCACAAGGCCTGACATTATGCACGCTGTAAGTCTCATTAGCAGGTACATGGAGTGTCCAAAGGAGTCACATCTTCTTGCTGTCAAGAGGATTCTTAGGTACTTAAAAGGTACTGAGGAATTTGGTTTGCTCTACAAGAAGGAAGAAAAGTCAGAGTTGTTTGGCTTCACTGACAGTGACTATGCTGGAGATCCGGATGACGGGAAAAGCACATCTGGTTATGTGTTTATGCTTGGTACAGGAGCTGTTGCATGGTCCTCAAAGAAGCAAGCAATTGTTACTCTATCAACAACTGAAGCTGAGTTCGTTGCTGCAACCTCTTGTGCTTGTCAAGCAATCTGGTTGAGGAAAATTCTTGAAGAGCTTCATTTCAAACAAGAAGGAGCCACTACAATCTACTGTGACAACAATTCAGCAATAAAGCTCTCAAGAAATCCTGTTCTACACGGAAGAAGCAAGCATATAGATGTGAAGTTTCATTTTTTAAGGGATCTCTCGAAGGAAGGAGTCATTGATCTCATCTACTGAAGAAGTGAAGATCAAGTTGCTGACATTTTTACCAAGCCTCTCAAGTTGGCTGCATTTCAGAAGCTAAGAAAGCTGCTTGGTGTTGGCACGCTGGAATTAAACTGAATGTTTGCAAACTCTCAGTTTAAGGGAGGGATTGTTGAGACACGTATTCTGAAAAGTCTTTGTTTTGTTAACAGCTGTTCTAGTATTTGTTAACAGCTGTCCTAGTATTTAGGAGTTTGTTTTTAGTGGAGTAGTGTTGAACTGTTTCTTAGCAAGTTTGTTTTACTGATAAATAATGATTTGTTATTTTACCGAGTCTTTAGCTTTTGCACGTTAGATTTAGTGGGCTCCTGATGTTGCTCTATATAAAGAGCTTTGTACGTTCAGTTTTTATTGGCAGAAAAACATAAAAAGGTTCTTCATCTTTGTCTTCTTCCACTTTTCTATATATATTTTGTAACAAAAAGCATGAATGTCAACCTTATTTTGCATGGCCAAAAAGTTGCTACTTGAGCGGATCTCAAGCGCTTTACTTTTTTTTTTTTAAGATTTATATATATTTCTCATCTTATTTCTTTACAATCAAGCTTATTTTTTCCTTTTTCAAACCATCTTATTTCTTTACAATCACAACGAAAAAGCTTATTTCCTCCTTTTTCAAATTATAATAATATTCTAGCAAAATAATAATAATAATAATAATAAAACTTATTTACCCAACGAAAAAGGAAATAATATTTTTTTTTGAAGGTAAATAATAAGTTTTCAATTAACAAATACAAGTAATGTTCGGGTTTTTTTATGTTCACAATATAAAAAAGCTTATGTTTTTTTTTTCCTTATTTCTTATTTCTTCACTACTGAAACATTATTTTCCGAATTCCTAACCTAAGGGAAATATTCCTTTCACAAATACAAGTAATTTCGGTTTTTGTTGAGTAAAAAAAATGCAAAATCAAAAGAAAAACAAAACAGAATCAACTTTTGGTTTGTGGAGCGTGGAGTTGATGCGCAGAGAATTGAGAGTGTGGTGGCATGTGAGGTAAGTTATACCAGAAAAAGGAATTTTCTCTGAAGGTGCTTGCGTGAGAAAAGTGATAGGTAAAGAGCGCTTACAATGCCATAGCCGTGTTTTGCAGCTTCATCACTGAATTGATTCACTTCAACTTCCCTCTTACTTTTGCATCTTTGATCCTAACAATATTATGCAATAACACAAAATGGGTGATCAAGAAAAACTGTTTAAATAAGCTTGAAAAAAATGGTGATATTGCATAAAGACCGTGACACCGTAATAAAAAGACCAACGCCATTGGAGAGCGATTAAGAAATTTCCATTTCATTTCTTAATTTAACTCTCAAAACAGCTTAGGACTATTTTCAAGTGGAAAAAACTAATTTCAAAAAGCAAATAAAATCACAAGACGAGAAATGTGGAAGGTTTGAGCTCAGAAATGGAAAAGAAGATCATCGAAACCTCAAATTAATCTAGCTATGGGTAACTAGCTTTACACATCGAAGCTAAAAAAAGGGCAAAAATAAAGCGAACAAAGAACGAACAATCTGGAAAAACTATACGTGTGTGTGTATCTGTAGCTTTGAATATTTGATTTAGTCAAGAAACTTAGTGGAATGAAGCACAGAAACAAATTCATGGGAGTTCATAAACGAAGTGAAAACTAGTACTAAAAGAAGAGGAGAAAATCAACGAGACTACGTAAACCATACCGTTTTGGAACTGGATAAAACGGATCAAAAAGCTTCTTCTTCTTCTTCGGCCTTCTGTGGATTTTGAATTTGAAATTCTGGTCTGTACGAAGAGAAAAGGCAGAGAGAGAGAGAGAGATTTTGAACGGGAATTTTGAAACCGGGAGAGTGGAGGGAGAGAGAGGTAATTAATGATGTATTTATCAGAGAACGAATCATCTCACGCACTTGTTTTGTTTCCTCTCCATTTCTCTCTCCAAATATGCGTCGCTTTTTCGTTTT